TAATACTAGAACATATTCTATAGTTCAACTTAGTATGTATATAACGTTCTTTGTAATCTTCTGACACAACATAGCTCGGTTTCCAAGCCAGTACACTGTAGAGGCGGACCTCGCAAATGTTTGCACCCGGCTGAACACACAGCATCCTCGCCTCATACTTTATACTAACTGTACTAAACATTGCCTTTGTGTTATTTAACCTTAAAGATATATGGACTTACAGTAAAAAAAAAATCAAACTTATTTATTTTCATTACAATATTGCATTGTCATCTATACATATAATAAAATTGGAGTGTCTGTTATATCAAAAGAAAAATTCCAGATTTCGGAAAGATTTATTTGCGTTGCTGATAACGAAAATATTATTATATGATATTTAAAAATTAGTCTGTTTGTCCGCAAGCCGCGTTTGTTCCGGATAATCTCCGGGACTTCACTGAAGGGTAGCTGACATACCCGGGCATATTATAGGCTACTTCATATCTTATTTTTGCGTGGACGAATTCGCGGTCAACAGCTAGTCGGAACTAAATGTGTTCCTAATACACAATTTATCAATAGGAAATAGATGTTGTTTTGATTACTAGATTTATCTCGAATAAACCTTTCTTTAAAAGTTCAGTAACGTTGGTGTAACGGGCGCTTGTTAACTAGTCCGTGGTCATTCTCGTTAGTATAGGGCGGGTCGTTTACATATCTTTAAATTTTTTTTAACAAATCATCATGATGTTTTTCTTCACTGTACGTTCTTTTAAATTCATAGATAGATGTCGGCCGTGACTTTGTCCGGAATTAAAAAAAATATTAAATTGCCTGTGTTCTTCCAGGCTGGTCTACCTCTTTGCCAAATTTTATGGAAATCCGTTCAGGAATTACGAGATAAATTCAAACAAACATCCATCTTAATACAAACTTTCTCATTTATTTTGTTAGTATTAGAACTATTTTGTAACGATAATAGTTATAAATAAATAAAGAAGTCTCAAGAAAGTATTTTATCTTCGTAACAAAATGTAGAGACGAAATTAAAAGTGTAAAATGGAAACTACAACTTAGAGAAGTACTAATTTAAGTTAATAGTTGTTGCTAAGTTATTTCGCATTCGCTATTTCTCTACTTAATAATACGAGTAGATGAATAATTGTTAAAAATGTTTTTCTATACTTTATTAATTTTAAATAGAGAAACATTAATACTAAAACCGATAAGCTCCATGGGCTCCAAGCTAACATACCACAACACCGGACGAACTGCAAATACGAATAAATACCGCGAATAAATAATAATTATAACATCTAACAGTCATTACATAGTTCTGTGAGACACTGATTTAACTTTTTTTACCTTGCTAATTGCGATAGTTTAGGTGGTTGAATGGGTGTTTGTTAGAGTCTAAGGACTAAACGGTTATACCGATCTCGATAAATTTACATTTCCTCCCATTCTCCTATAAAAATATATGGTAGTCATTCTACGGTTTTATTTAACAAAAATCTCATATTCTGTCGTAGAATTAAGTTTTCGTGTCACGATTTACGTCAACGAATGTAGTAATATTTCTTAAGGCAGGAGCCACGTAAACATCATAATGAAGTTGTGTGGATTTACATTTTGATTGAACGCCGCGTCCTCTACTGGAAGACGACGTGCTAACTTAACGAGAATTAAGAGTAGATACGCTAGAAAAGATTTGGTAAACCAATGCGGAAATATCTACACGAAATTCGTACCGACAATGATGGGATGACGACTAAAAATGTCGGTAACGTGATGTGTGCACGAACCTATATGATATTATATTGTATTGCATAAATCGCTTAGCTATAATTGACGGGTTTCGAAGATTTGTGTATGAAGAGCCTTATTCAGATATCGTGTGGAACTTTTTCACTTTCAAAGTGACACTTGTTCGCGACCCGAAGCGGGATGTCGGGACATCTTGCGCCTTCGATTTTGAGGTTTGCACTCAGTGCTAAAATGTGGAGAAACTTTCACTTACATATAGAGAATAAAACATGTTTCTTTTGACTGCAAATAAATCGAACATTATACATATATAACTGACGTGTGTGTTACCGTAATGCATCTGATGTGTATAGCGGCATTACTATAAACCCAGACTTCTTTTTAATTACAAGTGAACATTATTATTAGCAAAAAATCGCTCTTGTTACTTAGGTAATTTGAAGTTAAGCTACTGAGGAATAAATTAAAAGTTTATCTTGCCGCTTTATTGACTTTACATAAACACTATTGTTTTATGTAAAACTCGCTCGTTCAAGCGCCGCTACAAAATAAGCTGATTAACAACTTTCTTATAGTTCATTGACATTTGTTAATTTATGAAAATGTTGAACTTTTATTCCGAATTAACAGAAGGAATTTGGAGATGTAGATGTATATTGCCGAAAACATGAAACTAATTTATTTGCACATAACATAATTTAAAAAAAAAAAACTTAATTAGTAACCTAAGTGTTTTTCCAGACTATCCAAACCATCCAACCAAACCATCAATTTCTAAAACCAACATCCTTCTTTTTGAGTTTATAATATTAAGTAAGTAGGAAGACATATAAAACTGTATAACGAAACAGCTTGGTCATTTAAAAATAGCAAAGTTAGCAGTTTCATTATAAAATACTCAAAAGAACATGTTTGTTTCGGCTTTTAATTTATGAATATTATTAATTATTTACATCTTTTGCTATTTACAATTCAATATGACGTAATAAAGGTAAATTTATGCCCAAGTCGAAAAGTTCCTAAGCATTTAACGGACATTGGAAACAATACAATGAATTCAAAGTCTACGGACGGGAACTGGGAAACAATTTCACACAAATTCGATTATCAATCTTATAACAATGAATTTGAAAGGAAAATTAAAAGCCTCTTGTTCTTTGTGGTGTTTATTGCAATTATATTAAATACTAATATTATTGTGAGCAAAGATCTGATTGTTTGCATTGAATAAACTCCGAAAGTAATAAACCAATTTGAAAAATTCTTGCACTATGGGGAAACTACATTATCCTTGGGTAATCTTACTATAATGCTACTAGCTGTTGCTCGCGACTTCGCCCGCGTATTAATAAAAAAGAATACAAAAGATAGTCTATGTTACTCAGATATAAATTACCTTTTTAATGGTGAAATAATTTTTCAAATCGACCCAGTAGTTTTTGCTTGAATTAAATACATACAAAAATAAAAAAAATACAAATCATTACTCTTTATAATATTTGTCTATACTAATATATATATATATAGATAAATGCGATAGTTAAGACGGATGGATGTTTGTTAAAATTAAACGTTTCAACGGATATTAATGAAATTTGAAACAAGTATAAAGTATAGTCTGAAAAAACACATAGGCTAATTACTGTTGTTGTTTTCTTTTAATTCTGCGCTGACGAAATCGCAATCAAAAGCTGGTTTTGTAATTAAAAACACTTGTATAATGTCAATTCCTCTTATTTAAAAAATGAATGGTTTTTTTTCAATGGATGATGAAGCACAGATTGTTAATTAAAAAGCTTATTTTACTCGATTATTCTTTAAAAATACGTATAAAAATTGCCGCAGTAAATAAAACAGTTAGAATGCTTGCTAAAACTTGGCACTTTTAGGTAACTATTCTTATTTCGTTGAGCTAAAATGTCAAGACGTAACCCACAAAGTATTCAGCTGTAAGATTTACATTTGTTCGTGGCTGTCGGTAAAGTTCCATCTTGCCTGAGGCGTCGTGTCGCAAGGCGTTTCTTCGTATCTTCTTTGCCATACATTTTAACAATTCGACACTTTTCTGGAGTTTTGTGGAAATCTTTCACGCCGGAATTCGGTTAAAAGTGAAAGAATTTTGCAATTCTGATATCTTTATTTCCTTTTATTTTCTAGAATAAAACCAAATCTATCGATTTATCAGACAATTAGGAAAAGGTAAATTCCTTTAGTGGATAATTTTTAATCAAACCTTTTTGATATTTACACAATTTTGAGGTTGTTATACATTTAAGCTCACCCTATTTGTAGTGTGCACAAACAGCGCCTGTCAAATTAATCACAGCAACGTGTTGCGGCACGCTTACATTTGAAGTGCATTGCTACGTCTTGTGTTTCAGACATTGTTACTAAATGTTTACTAGGATTGTGATGACAACTATAATCATATAATTTGTTTGACGACCTTCTAGATGGTGTACTTATTTTTAACCCCCTTAAAATTATTATTCAAGATTCCAAACTCTTACATTTTAAGGATGCTACTTATAGTTTTCAAATTTCGAATGTATCTGTTCGAAACAGAAAGTTTCCCAACAAACATTCGTCTTTGCTTCGACTGCAACTTGTTCGATACACTGTGGGTTGTTATAAACTTTGTCATTTATTGTCGTTTTGCATTGTCTTCTAGGACAAGCCTGTCTCGTCTGATTTGTAACGAAACTAAGAGGCATAGATTATGGATTATATTTAGTATAATTTAATCACATCTCTAGCTTACACTTAAAATTTTCTAACAAAATATTGCACTTGAGCTGAAACTCGTATATCTCCTATATTATAATATACTAGTTGTTGCTCAAGACGTCGTCCCCGTAAATTGTAACGTTTTACTGCTAACATAACGTTTTAATAGCGAAAGAATTTTTGAAATCGGCCTAGTAGTTTTTGAGTTATTTCAATACATTTAAAAATACATTTTTTTCATCTTTATAGTAAATTAATATAGATAAAAATACTAATATTATGTCCGAAAAGTTATAGCATACATAAGTTAACCAATACTCAAACAACTGAGTTGTAAATCTACACAAATTATAATAGCATTTCTCAAGCTACAGGTAGTAACAAATTAATACAAGAAAAGCGCTTAAAACCAACTCGATAGTAAATTCAACAAACACTGATTACCATTATCATTGCATATCTCTTAATCAGAACTTGATAACAATTCCATATAAATTATATATTTTCTTGTTTATCAGTACACGTTAAACAAGATACTAGTAAAATGTCCTACAACTTTACAGGCGATGTAGAAAATATCAATTCTCGACATTTTGAATTTATCAGTGAAGTGTTAAATAAAAATGGATATAAAGGAACAGATGTGAATATAAAAAATGTCGGTAAGAAAGGTGATAATTACGGTTCAAGAGTTAAAAGAATCGAAGTAACATTTGAAGATGGGAAAGAATTCAAAATTATAGTAAAAATTGCACCCGAAGATTCGATAATCAGAGATCAAATAAATGCGAACGATTTATTCAAGAATGAAACTGTAATATTCAATCAATTATTACCGAAATTAAGAGAAATACAAGAAAAATTTGGTGTACCAGTTGAAGATTTATTTAAATATCCCATTTGTTATGGGACTAACGATGAATTGACGAACGAAATAATATTACTTGAAGATCTAGAGACGCGTGATTTTCAAATGCTAGATAAAACAACGCCATTAACCAACGAAGCTGTTAGACTGATACTTAGAGATCTAGCAAACTTCCATTCTTTGTCATTCGTTTTGAAATACAAAGATCCTGTGTTATTTAATAATTTTATGGGTACTTTAGTAAACTCAATGATAAACGAGAAAACGATCGCTCAAACTCAAATGTTTTTCGAGCATACACTGAATGATTTGAAGTCTATATTTGATAATGACCGATACAAGAATGTTATCACTGATATATCACAATATTTAGTGAAGAATTGGATGAAATTAATGAAAAGTGATGCAGGGTCGAAGTACAGTGTTATCCAACACGGTGACTTATGGACTAACAATATTATGTTTCAGATGCAGGTTAGTCCTACTAATATTACAAATGCGAAAGTTTAGATGGATGGATGCTTGCTAGAGTGTGTAGCCTGAATGATTGAACGTATCTCGATGAAATTTGGCATAGCATAGTCAGGAAAAACACATAGGCTACTTTTTTTAGCGAAAGGTAGTATTTAATAAACTTAAGAAAATCTTCAGTAAGAATGTCATTTAAAATACTTTAAACCTCATAGAAAACATGGTACAAATTTTAGTGGAACTTAAAAAAATTCAAAAATCTATTACCAATAATTTTAAACTTTAAACACACATATTAAATGTTACATTTATTTGACTCTCAGAGTGTATGCAAACACTAAAAACTAAACGATCGCACAACTGTTTAGTCTCTCGTTGATTCCTGTGAGCTTATATAGAGGTTCGCACACTATTCTATTTTTATTTGTGCATCTAAACAGTTGAATTGGCTGCGAAACAAGCGACAATCGCATAACAGTTATGTGATACTTTAGTCAAAGATGTCCACCTACTCTTATTCCATTGAAATTACGGATTTCATATAACTAAATCAGACCAGGTACTAATCTATAAATATTATTTTCCAGGGAAATCGACCTACAGACTGCATATTCATAGACTACCAGCTCTCACGAGACAGTCTCCCAGTCTCAGACATCCACTATTTACTCTTCAGTTGTACAGACTACCAAACTAGATCTAAACATTACAATGAATGGATGGACTACTATCACTCGGAACTGGAAAGATATCTATCATATTTCGATCTTAAAGTAAACTACGTTTATCCGAGAGATAAATTCGATGCTGATTTAAAAAGATACGGTAAACCTGGACTTGGGATAGCATTTATTATGGTCAATTTTGCACTTAGACAGACACAAGAAGCGCCTGATCTAACAAATATAGACGGAACTAATCTACCAGATAATCTTAAAGTGGGATCACTTATGGATAAAACTGTTGAATCGATTAAGGAGCGTGTAGAAGGTCTTATTGAAAGCTGTTTTGAGTTCGGGTATTTACCCGAACCATCAAAGGCAACGTTTAAATAGTTAGTCATGAAACTGTTAAATATGTTTTTGTATCTATGAAAATATTTTCACAAAGTTTATAATAAAATTTACACATTAAATGTAAAAATAAGTTATTAAAATTGGTCATTGTTTTAACAGTTTGATAAATTGGTAGCAATATTTAACCTTGTGGTTATTATGCATTTACACGTAGCGCCTGCTGAATTACAACGAGCAACATGTTGCGGATGGTCACGGAACAAAACAGAACATCGAATAATGTCTTGGGATTTCATGGTTGTAAAGAAAGTTACATTAAGATTATTATTTTTATTGTTCTACAATATTAGCACTAAGGTATAGTTTACGTATTATTTTTTTTATAACAAAAGGGGGCAAACGAGCAATGCATTTTTATAAGTAAAAGCTATGTTCAAACATAGATGTACCTGAAGTAGTATTTATGGATTGACGTATTTGGAACAGTATCGATAAAAATTATCGTATCATATCTATAAACGTAAAAATGATAAAATCCAAAATAAATTATCATGTACAAAAATATTTGTCTGCATCTTACATTTCAACAATAGTCGAAGGTGATATAAAAATGGTTAACGACTTCAAAGGTGAAACAGAAGGGATTACTGAAACTCAATTTGAAATCTTAAGTGAAGTGCTAAAAAAACAAAAGTGTAACAAAGGGACAATCTTAGTAGACAACGTTGGAAAGATAGGAGACAATTATGGATCACATATCAAAAGATTTCAAGCAACTATACAAAATGGTAAGGAATTTAAAATGATAGCTAAAATTGCACCTAAAGTTATGATACTGCGTGATGAGAAAAATATAAATGATATATTTATGAACGAAATTCTCGTAATTAGAGAGTTACTACCTAAATTTAGAGAACTACAAAAAGGTGTTAATGTACCTGAAGACGATATTTTTAAATACGCTTTTTGTTATGGAACTTGTGAAACAGCTGGAAGTGAAATGATACTTCTAGAAGATTTAGATCAATCAAATTATACGATGCTAGATAAAGCCAAGCCTTTAAATAATGAGCATGTTGAAATTATTTTGAAGAACTTAGCCAATTTTCATTCTCTATCATATGCTTTGAGGAACAAGGAACCCCAGACATTTAATAAATTTACCGGCACATTAGTAAATGCAACTGTTAATCCGAAATCAATTACTGAAACAGAAAAATTCTTTGAGAAAACTTTAAATGATTTGCTAACAATATTTGATGACGATAAATATAGAAAGATAATAACAGACGTAATGCAAAATTTAATTAAATATTGGTTGAAATTTATGACTATAGATTCTGATTCAAAATACAGCGTAATTCATCATGGTGATATGTGGACAAACAACGTCATGTTTCAAATACAGGTTAGTATTTCCACATTTTAAAACTAAAAAATATTTTAACTCTTTTACTCTTTAATACATTAAACCAAAACTTATTAACCTTTCTTTAAATATAATCTGTATAGTCTAGTTACTTTGTAGTACAATGTAAAAAAAAATTAGTCATAATCTATTTCTTTTTCAGAATAATCACCCACTTGAATGTCTATTTATAGATTACCAACTCTCTCGAGATAGCCTCCCAGTTTCTGATTTACATTACTTCATATTTAGCTGCACTGACTATGAAACTAGATCGAAGCACTATCATGAATGGATGGATTACTATTATTCGGAATTAGATAGATATTTGAATTATTATGATCTAAAAGCTGATTGCATTTATCCCAGAGATAACTTTGACGCTGATTTAAAAAGATACGGCAAACATGGATTGGGGATATCTTTCTTAATGGTCAATTTCTTGTTGGGACAAAAACAGAAAGCAAATATAACAGAAGTCAAAAGTATGAACGGTGAACTTTTTGTAAAAGAAGAAAAATTGTTGAACGATAATTTAGAGATGGTAAAAGATCGTGTGGAAGGTCTTATCAAAACTTGTTATGACTGTGGTTATTTATCTTAATTCCTATAATAACAACAAAGAAGTGTGTGATTACGCTTTATTATAATAGTATAGATACTAACGAGAATTCAAAGATCTTTATAACTTAAATAGAAGTCAACTCTGTATTCTTGCCAACTTTTATGCAAAAGTTTGATTGTGGGTTTTTACAATTCACAAATGATAACAATTATTTTTTTTTAATCAAATCTTAATATAAAATTAGACTTATCAAAGGAAATTACGAAACTTGTTTATTTATCAAAAATGTTATTACGACATATCTAAAGATAATGATCTAAAAGCGATAGTAAAAGCGTATAAATATGGTTGAATAGTATAAATTAGGAATTATCAATAAATAATAAATGTAACAAAAATGTTCGAATTCAAAGGTGATTTACAAAATTTAACAACAAGGCAACTAGAATTTATTAGTGATGTGCTTAGAAAACATAACTACGTAGGTACAGCAGTTTGTATAGAAAATGTTGGAGAGAAAGGTGACAATTACGGTTCTCAAGTCAAAAGGATTAAAGTGCAGTTTGGAAATGGTAAAGAGTTTAAAGTTATAGCAAAAATATTGCCAAATAATATGAAACAAAATGATATAGTAAATTCAATATTTATGAATGAAATCATTATGTTTAATGAAGTACTGCCTAAGTTTAGAGAGTTGCAAGAAAATGTAGACATTCCCGAAGAAGGTTTGTTCCAATACCCTGTCTGTTACGGAGCTTTAAAAGAAATAGATAATGAAATAATATTGATAGAAGACTTGGAAATATCTAATTATACAATGTTGGAAAAGATAAATACATTAAGCAATGACACAGTAAAACTTGTACTAAAGAATATAGCAAACTTTCACTCCATGTCTTACGTATTAAAAAACAAAGAACCACAACTAATAAACAAATTGTCAGAATCATTATTTGATCCAATGTTTAATTCAAAAAACATAACTCAGCCTGAAGTATTCTTTGATGGTGTAATACGAGATTTTAGGACAATGTTTAACACTAGCAAATATAAAGACATTACAATAAATGTAATGGAAAATTTTGTTAATACTTGGAAGAAACTCATCTCAAGCGACAGAGGCACAAAATAAAGTGTTATTCTGCACGGAGATTTATGGACTAACAATATTATGTTTCAGATGCAGGTATAAAAATAAGACATTTGTTTCATAATTACATCACCACCAGCTCACTATACATCCCCACCGAGTGGCTCGGAGCCTACCCTGAATTAGGGTGATTAGGCCATAGTCAACCACGCTGGCCCAGTGCGGGTTGGTCGACTTTACACATATCTTTGAATTTCTTCGCCGATATGTGTAGGTTGCATCGTGATGCAAACGATAGACGATCATGACAACATCACGATGTTTTCCTTCTCCGTAAGTACGTCGGATAAATTATGTACATATGAAAATTTGAAAAATCGATAATCACATAGGTACATAGCGGGATTCAAACTCAAGACCTGTAGATTACAAGTCAAGTGCGTAAACCACTGAGCCACCGACGCTCTAATAATTACAGTGTAACTAAAATCATTTTAACAATGGTTACATGTAACCAATATGAAAAAAGCACGCGTCATCATCTTCCCGTCCTTATCCTACTCACATACTGTCAATATACCAGTTTTCATCAAACGATCAACTTTTCGTCTTTTCAGTCGAGACTCTCCTTTTTGTAAGTAATTGTGATTTTGTTCGTCTTTCAGAATGGATCACCAGTCAACTGCACATTCATCGATTACCAAATGTCTCGAGAACTTATCCCAGTAGCCGATATCCATTATTTCATATTTAACTGTACAGATTACAAAACAAGATCCAAGCATTACCACGAATGGATGGATTACTATCATTCAGAACTTGAAAGATATTTGGATTATTTTAATCTCAAAGTTAAATATATTTATCCTAGAGACAAATTTGATACTGATTTAAAAAGATATAGTAAAGCTGCGTTGGGTTCCTCGTTTTTTGTATTAAATGTATCGTTAAGAGAATCACAGGAAGCACCGGATTTAGTGATGAAGGAAAACGTGGGAGGAAATAAACAAACACCTCAATTCCAAATGAAAGCAGTACAAGATAACAGTTTTGAAATAATCAAAGATCGTGTAGAAGGTTTAATTGAAAGCTGCTTTGATTATGGATACATATCTGAGATACAACCGTTCTTCTAATAAATTTGTTCCTTATACTTTATTGTTTTATTTACTACAACAAATTTTCTGCCATGCTATTTATTTTAAACTTAAGAATTACGACATTTTTAGTTTGAACAACAACATCTGAACTTTCAAATGTTAATGACATTTATTGAAGAATTTTTATCTTTAGGATTAACAAAAACACGTTTACTAAAACCAAGAATTATTAATTAATTGTTATTTGCCATTACAAAATAGAAGTGATCTCTCAAAAAAAACTGCAAAACAAACTTGTATTTTTCCGCCTGGAAAATTACTACTAGCAAAAGTATTTATTTATTATCTCTCACGTCTTTGCAAACAATAATTATGTAGGCTTGAAAATCGAAATCCTACGTTTTTTTTTTTTTTTTTATGGG